TTCCCGCCTCGTCACTGCCGCTTTTTTGGTGAAAATGAAACATTCCCGTACTGTGGTTGTACTCATTATACAGATTGAATGGTCCTTCCACATAGCACAAATTCACCCGCTTATTGATTATTCCCTGAAAGTTCATACACATACCTTATAAATTTAAATCTTCGTTAAAAACTTTAGAAACGCTGCCAAAAATTCCCTCAGCTTGGAAAACAAGACATTCGCTGAGTGAGATTCATAACCAATTGAAAAAGTACATTTGCCAAAGAACAGAGAAAAATTACCTCAATATCAACATTGATCAATAGTGTATTCAGCTGAGCTATTGCAAAGAAAAACTGCTTCCCGTCTGATAGAACCAGCTGTGAGACAAGTGGATTCTCAATATCATTATATTGCGTAAAACCTGCAACATAAACAATAAATTTAACGAAAACCTGGCAATCACTGATATTTTACCTTTTTTTACTTCAAACAAATCCGCACTTATTTGATGAGAGTCCGATATTCACTAATATTTGACCTTCTGTACTTGAACACTAAACAAGTCTGCATTTAAGCTCTCGTCACATTCTTTACTTTCAACAATCTTCCTCCTTCGTTTCCAAATTCGTCCACTTAATCCCTAAAATCCTTTTATATTTCTGCCTCTTAGCTGGGACAAATAGTAACTTTGCACTGGTCAGAAAAATAGAAATGACGCACTTCTTCACCTGCGGGCGACTCTTTATTAAAACTTGTTATTAAGTCGTATACTGACGCGAAATAACGCAACTAGTGATCGATTTCATGCAGAAAGTCGAGGGTTTGCTTGCACCATTACAACAATCAATCCTTCTACGATTCGTTCAATCGTTTCTGGCATCGTTACATGCTAAGAAACTACCCTTCAGACTGCTTTTGAGCAATCCTTGAAAAAAAAAAGAAGCATCGTCAGTCTTGCTAGCGGGCAGTTACTGTTACTCCTTGCTAATTCCCAGTGGGTTCCTCACAGCCCATGAAGACTGGCTTAAGAAGAAACAAAATATACTTATCCACGATTAAGTTTTGCACATTTTATCCAAAATTTTCATATATCAACGAAACTCTTTATGAACTTTCGACAAGGTCCGACGCCATTTCAACACTACATTCATCGATGAGCTGTCGAGATAACATCCATTTCGTACTTTCCCTATTTCCGTGCTCACTGTATTTGTTCCAAAAGAATGATTTGTAAGAAACTGTCTATTAGAAAACGATGTTTTTATAAGAACCGAAGCATACCTAATGCATGAGCTTGTCCATTAAGCCATGAAAACAGAGAGGAAACCGCTGTTGCCCGAAGGCATTCGTTGCGAACCACTCTCTCTTCCTCGCCCCTCACTTTCCACCGCTTACAATAATCATCCAGCTCTGTGCATTGCTTGAAAGCAACCAGTCCAAATTTGTATTCGTCGCCTGAAAAATTCTCTTGTAGGGATAACCTCCGTTAAATTTTTTTTGGAGAAAGAAGCGGACAAGTGCAGAAATTGAATGTTGCTTTTAAACTGTTCAAAAAAACAGACCAGAGTCGGGCTCGTATCCGGGACATTGCCACAATGGCTCACTGTCGACCAACATGCCAAACATCGCAGGCGAATATATCACTTCGTCTTTGACGTTAAATTCAGGTTCAAACAGTGGCCTCGTCACCTCTTCATCCGAAAATGGCAATAACTGCAAAAAGCGCCAGTAAGAAAAAAAAAAGGTTCGCCTACAGCGGCAGATTGGCAAGCGGAGCACAAAGAGCTACTGAAAATATTCTACGTTGCTGAACAATGCTACAACACAACAGAAAGATTCTCTTAATACGCATCTGCAACTGTAAGCCCCTGTTGAAGGGTGAATTCGCATATGACAGATAATCAGGGAAATGAACAAGCGACGTGCCTGGCATGCGTGAAGCATGCAAAAAAGTTAAATACATCATAATCTGAACGGTGAGGCAATTCTGCTTAACACTGGCGTAGTTGGATCTGCCACCAGCAGAAAATGGTTTTCGCAAAGCGCCACTTAAAACCCACAAAAATCATCCGAATCCATGCTCTTAACAGAGCCAATGACGATGAAACTAAAGTTTTTATGTTGAGCTCGAGTCAATATTAGTCGCCAAAAATTCAGCACGGTCGTTTGGATAGCTTTAGCGCAAAGTTGAGCATGGAAAGAGAGTGAGACGGGATAGAGGAAGGGAGCAGCGGCAAGAGGAACGACAGAAGTAACAAGGTAGTAGCGATGTCAGAGGCGAACACACTGTTTATCCGGGTGATCTTGGTGACGAAAATTTTGCATAAAACGGAAAATCAGTTACATAACTAGTTCTCAAAAAGGGAGACGCTGTCATCTGATAAGTGTTGCTTTGGTACGTCCTTTCAATTTGAAAAAAAAAACGGTGAGTTGATAACTCACGGGCTTCAAAGGTCGTTTCAGGCGCACATGTGTAGCGAATGCATCTCTCAGCGTGAATGCAAGTTCACCAAGTTTTGCTCTGCAAAAAAATAGCTGTTATTTCTTCACTCTGAAGATAAATCGGAACTTAAATTTTCTGGGCGGAAGGCATTCATCCGAGGGAACAATAAGGCAAACACAAAAGTTACAGAAAGTGAAGTGTAACGTGGTGATATTTCTTACCTATCATCACCTCGATGCCTATGTCTATTCGATTTCTCGTATATGGCGTCAAATCCAGATCGAATCCAGAATGATTCGCAACGTGGTGCATGCGATACCTCAAATTACTTCATTCGCTTCATCAATTTTGATAAACAAATGCCGTTCTCGTTCGAATTAACAAAACAGCAAATTAACAAAACAGCTTTATCTCTTACTGCCGGCGAGTGGTTAACCACAAATCAAAGAATCTTGAAGGCTATGAAAACTTTGCTGAGATTATGAAAAATTTGAGGCAGGCTGCCCAAAAAAATAACCTAGTAATTCAAAAAAGTACTAACTCTTTGTTCAGCTAAAGCGGTATGGACACGGCTTTGCACGCCATGCTCCAGTAACAAATCCAGTAAACTCCGCAAAATTCCATCGACCCTTTCTTCCTCACTTTCAACATTCGTAGATAGTAAATGCAACCTCAACATTTCTCCCAAGCGTTGCTGAAATGTAACGAAATTTCGCAAATCGCTAAAATTTCTTGAAATGCCAGTACAAACCCTAAATGTCACTAAAATTTAACAAACCAACAGCTGAAATCTATACTAGGCCTTCCTGCTCCCAAAAAACCGTTTCTAACCATGCCTCGTTAAATTCATCAAGTAACTACACCACTATATCTAAAATACTTCTAAAAGAAAGGAGAAAAAGTGAAATTTGCTTTGATCAACTGCTGTTTCATCGCAACGTTTTTGACGCAACTGGCAAATTCTCAACTTTTCTCTACTTTAGGCTCTCTCGCATAAACCCCTTTATGTTTTTTACTCGTCTATTTTGAAAAGTCCACCGATAACTCAGTGCAGCAAGGTGCTACAGTACAAATTTCTTAGGCGGGAAAATTAAAAAAGCGTACAGCTAACATTGAACAATATACGGAAATCTCTGCTTTTGATAACTGCATAAAAGTAATAATTGCTGTTAGAAGCATGAAATATGGCGAAATCTACTTCTT